GGACTCCCTGGAAGCTCTAGTGGTGTCCAAAACATCAGAAAGACACACTTTGCAGGTTGGGTAGAAGCCTGTGAGCATAAAATAAGGGGTCTGCTTCAAAGGGTACTGACCTACATCCTCTCTGGCCTGGTTTTGTTTGTTTGTTGGTGTGTGTGTGTGTGTGTGTGTGTATGCATATGGCAGAGTTCTGTTGTGTTGGGGTGCACTAAGTGAAGGTCATTGTGTCATTCAGTTGTTAATTCTGTACCTGCAGAGAGCTGAGCATAGGGCGGATTGTGGTATTGTTATGCTTACACTTCATTACCCGCCTCAGCAATTTGTAAACACGTACCTTCCTCACTCTCTAACTGGCTTAATAAAGATTTAACAGCCGGTAACTGGGCAGGAAAGGGAAGGCAGGACTTCCGCTCTGAGATGGGTTCTCTGGGAGAAGAATCAGAAGTGGGAAGCAGGACATGGAGGAGGTTGGGCATACTTGGGAAAGAGAGAGGTAAGTGAAGTTGACAAAAATATTAGGGTTAATTAAGTTAGATGAGCAAGCTGAGAGGTAGCCCAAGCTACAATAAAATTAATGAGTCTTTTCTTTCTTTCTTTCTTTCTTTCTTTCTTTCTTTCTTTCTTTCTTTCTTTCTTCCTTCCTTCCTTCCTTCCTTCCTTTCTTTCTTTCTTTTTTTTTTTTTAGATTTATTTATTATGTATATAGTGTTCTGCCTACGTGTATCCCTGCACACCAGAAGAGGGCACCAGATCGAATTATAAATGGTTATGAGCCACCATGTGATTGCTAGGAATTGAACTCGGGACCTCTGAAAGAGAAGTCAGTGCTCTAAACCTCAAAGCTATCTCTCCAGCCTGCTCTCTGCCTTTTTGTTTGTCAATCTTGATCAAAAATTTGGCAGGATTTAGAATCACCATGGAAACAAATTTCTGGGCATGTCTGAGGGATTACCTATATTAGGTTGAGGTAAGACTTTCCCTCCTTCCTGACTCTGGACACAATGTGACCAACTGCTTCCTGCTCCTGACACCACACCTTTCCTGCTACTATGGACTTTATTCTTTGGAACTGTTAACAGTTCTTTCTTTCTTAAGTTGCTTTTGCTGTGCATTTTGTCTCAGTAAGAAGACAAGTAATGGATAAACTGATCTTTCATCTAACCTTAATTCTCAAGTCCCTCCAGGGGCCCAGCCGATCACATGTGACTCACAGCCCCCTCACACTGTTAACACAAACTATGTGGTGTGGACCAATGCCTCAAGTAAACAAGGATATTCTTAAAATGGATAGAATATTCTAGGCAGTTAAAACTTAGAGGCTGGGGCTGGAGAGACCACTCAGTAGTTAAGAGCACTTGTAGCTCTTGGAGAAGACTCAGGTTTGCTTACCAGCACAGCAACTATGGTTGTTCATAGTCACCCTTAACATCAGTACCAGGAAATCTAATGCCATTTTCTGACTTCTGCAGACACTGGGCATGCATATGGTACACATACATGTATATGGGCAAAACACATAGAAAACAAATAACTAAAGAATAAAAAAAGGTTATAGCCATAGAACCAGGCAAGAGTCAAACTTTGTTTTTTTTTGGTTTTGTTTTAATTTATTTATTTATTTCATGTATGTGAGTACACTGTTACTCCTATAGACACACCAGAAGAGGGCATCAGATCCTATTACAGATGGTTGTGAGCCACCATGTGGTTGCTGGGAATTAAACTCAGGACCTCTGGCAGAGCAGTCAGTGCTCTTAACTGTTGAGCCATTTCTAGCCCAAGGTTCTGGAATCTCAAAACCAATCCCCAGTGACATATTTCCTCTAGTAAGGTCATACCTCCTAAACTTACACAGTGCCACCAATTTAGGACCAAGCATTCAAAAGTCTGAGCCTGGGGGAGAGAAGGACATTCTCATTCAGATCAGCAATGACGACCATAGTATTAATTGCTTGAAGCAAATATCAGCCCCCCACCCCAAAAAAAAGATGCTGTAGTGAGTTGATTGATGACTCTCAGAAGGGTGTGCCCTAGTGTATTCCATGTATTAGTCTTCAAGATGTGTGAATGTTGACCTTCTTTGGCATAAAGATCCTTGCAAATGTGATTATAAGTCTTGGGGTGAGCTCATCCTGAGTAAACCAGCTAGGTCTACACTCAGTGACAATTCTCCTCGTAAATAACAGGAAAGCAGGGAGACATACAGAGAAGAAGGCAACATGAAGACAGATGGAATAACTTGGCCACAAGCCACAGAGTCAAGCCATTGCTGTCTCCCTGGGAATTGTAGCAAGCAGCAGAATCATCAAAGATGATTGATAAGATCAACCTTCGGAGACAGAGAAAATGATCGTATAGCTTCATTCTGATTTTCAAGTTGATTTTTTGATAGAGAGATAGTCTCTCTACATTCCATAAGCTGGCCTCACTCTTCTTTAAAGAGCTCCTCTTACCTTGGTCCCTCATCAGGAACCACAAGTGTGTATCACCTTGTCTGGCTCATTTCCATTGTTTTAATTCCCAACGCTGGTCTAAGAGACTGATATTAGAGTTGCCTTAGCAAAGCCAGAGCTGATGGTGCCCCTCATAACAAGAAAGAAAACAGAACACTAAACTCCTTCACCATAATCAACCCATTTCTCTCACACAAACGCATTTGTTAAATGTACACTGACATATGCAGGCAAAACACACATGCACATAAAATAATAAAAGCCTTATTTTTATTACTTACTTTTTTTTTTTCAAGACAAAGTGTAACAGCCCTGGCTGTCCTGGAACTAGCTTTGAGACCAGGCTGGTCTTGAACTCACAGAGATCTTCTTGCTGGGGTTAAAGGCAAGTACCACCACAACCAGCCCAAAACCCTTATTTTTTTAAAGCAAATTTAAAAAAAACCTATTTTGCCATATTTACTTTTAATTATTTTATAGTGCTGGTAATTCTAACCCAGGGCTAGATGAAAGTAATAATATTCATAAGATTCTAACAGTTGAGAAAACACATGTATTGTTTTTGGGTTAAAATTTTATTCAGCAGGCAAAGGAATATGTATGGTAATAAAAATATTATTTCAAAATACTAAAATTTCTCCTTAATATCTTTTATCTGATTTATGTGGCATAAACAAACTACATATTGGTGTGAAGAATATAAAGGTTTCATTGGCATTTGTTTGAGTTTTGTCTGTAAACTCACACTTCAATACCAATTGTATCTCCAACTAAGTTCCATAAAATATTTACAGCATACCATTCCGTTTCCCACACTTTCCATAGAAACAAAAATTTAGTGCTCACAAAAGTACTTATAAATATATAAGCTAGTTGTGAAGACTCATTTCATTTAGACTCCAGATTACCTGTCTGCAGGAAGTAGATGTAGAGGGAGGGGGATATTTGCTGTGTCAGCTGGATCTGTGATTTGGCAAATTCCTTCCTCAAGGAAAACCACTTTCCAAAGATATCCTTGGTAAAAGCTTACTGAGATTAACATAAAACTGGAAAGGTCTCTTGCGTCTACACCTTCGAATTCATTTGTAAATAACCACTACTTTCTTTTCTTCCCCCACCGGGGGACCAGGCTGCAAGAGTCACAGGTGCAGGTGGGTTTTCACTAAAGACAGCATGGAAACAAAAGGATGCAGGCGCCAGGAGGAAAACATAGTCTCGCAGAACAAAATCAGTCTCCAAGGGGAGAGCAGATCCAATACCAGGTTTTACAGAAGTTTAGATAGTCACCAGAGATAGTGTATCAGCTTTATTAGGTCTTCCGTTACGCCTGTCTGATTGGCTTAAACCTTTGTGTTAGTCTTTATCTTGAGGGATCTCTTTGCTAAGCACGTGATAGGTGTTAAGCCAATATTGATTTTTTTTTAAAAAAGGGACATAGTCATTAAATCTAAGCTTCACGGTTAGTTTTAACTTTCAATTTATGGCTTAGGAGCCAAAGGATTCATATGATCCCTGAATTTCATTACTCATAAGGAGAAACAGTTCGGATAGGCAGGACCTCAAAGTCATTAAATTACTCATACCACACAGCTTAGAAGTCAGATAAGGCAATGCTTTGGTAGAGTCCTGCAGAGATTAAACATCTTGAGTATAAAGCTCAAGTGCACAGTGAGTTCAGATGTATTGTAATTAATGTTATCCAGATGGTAGTTGGACTAATCAATGATGAGGCGGTATTTATCTTGGGATAGAAAATTCTGAACTCCAGAGTGAGAAAATCCCCAAGGTGGGGGGTGGGGACAGTTAATAAGCGCTCCTGGGAAAGGCCCATTCAGCAAGGGCTGGAAAATTCGTTTGAATTTGAATCAATTTGAATAGAAATCTCCCCCCAGGAAGCAGGAACCAGATTCTCTAAGCCCAGCAAACTTTGGGCAGGAAGCAATACTGTAAAGTAGTTAGTCCCTTGTCTGTGGTTTGGGATACCGAGAAAGAAGTCACAAGCTGGGAATCGAGTGTTTGAGTTCCTTCAAAGAACCCAGGAGGGTAGAGTAACCAACTCCAGGCACAGTGCTGGGAAGCCTTCCCCTGTCCGCACCCACGCGGGTGCTGCAGCGCGTAGGCCTTCTCTTCACCGCTAGGGCGTCCACGGAGCAACCCTCGTCCCGCCCGGCCCCCGAATCCGCAGCCCTGAGCGCGGGGCGCCGAGGGGGGCGGGGCGATGAGCGGGCGGAGGGCGCGGGAGGTGCATCCTGGGAAATCCAACAACATGGGGCGCCTAGGCTGCGGGCGCTGTGGCCGCCGCGAGTCCCGGCCGCAGGCGCCGCGGCTCTCCTGACGTCCGAGCCGAGGCCCGCCCGCCGCAGCCCGGTTCCCCCGCCCTGGCGCCCCCGCCCCCCGGCCGCGCCATGTGAGGGACCGCTCCCGCCACCGCCTCTTCCTCCCCGCGCCTCCCGTCCGCCCCCGCCGCCTCAGCCCCCGCCATGGACGCGCACTACGCGCCCGCGGGCTTCGCGGAGTCTCCCGCGCCCCCCGCCAGCGCCGCCACGCAGCCCGCTGCCCCCGCCTGGGCCTACGAAGCCCGGGTCCCGGCCGCCGCCTCCAGTCCCAGCTGCAGCGGCAGCAGTCCCAGCCTCAAGGCCAGGTAGAGGGGGTGGGCGCGGGGTCTCACTGGGCCAGGAAAGGCCGCGGATACTCCGGGGCCTGTGCCGCCCCTCTCGGGGCCCAGGCCGAGTGGGGAGCCTTCGAGGCGCCCTTCTTCGCTTTCCAGACAGGCGGTGGACCACTCCTGGCGGGTGGTCCGGGCTGGGAGGGGGCGCGTGGTGCAGGATTCGTGCCTGGGGCGGGTCAGGGCGCGCGACAGAAGGGAAGGTTGGGCGGGATGGAGGGGCGCAGTCACCTCTCGGTGCTGGACTCCCACATGGTAAAGTTTAAGCTCCAGTCTGACCTCGGTATCTAGGGAACCGGGATTGACTCCGGGGGGAGGCCTAGAGGGGCGCCGCGGAGCCCGGGGCAGTGACATTCCATTGTATTGGAATCTGGGTGGCCGACAATGTGTTGTTGGGGGCCTTGGCGGTGTGAAGGTGAGGGCGGTGGCAGGGGATGAGACGCGGGGATGTGAAGCGGGGCCGTGTCGCTGACACTAGGGAACCTGGGATGACTGGGCTGCAAGGGAACCCCAGGGCGGGACACGAATGCAAAGCAGGGGCTGGGTGACATATGTTTGAATTGATGGCTATGTTCCACGCGTTCAAAGTTGCTTTTGGGTTTCCTCTCCTTTTAACAACGGCAGGAAGTCAAGAATCCCTCTTGGCTCTCAGTGCCTGGGGGTGACTGAGTGTTGGGAAGCATTGAGGGCTGGTGGTCAAAGAAGGCTCTAAAGGTCGAAGACCCAAAGCATGCTTCTCCATCTCTGCTTCATTGTATAGTGCAGGGCTTCAAGAGTTCATCTTTGCTCCAGCATGGGCAACAGACCCCAAAATGTGGACTCCTGTTTGATATTTAAGCTCGCGAGAAATGTGTAGCAGTACCACACTTTGAAACGGTCCCATTGGAATGATAACTGGAAGGCGTGGTCTGGTTTGGAGGCTTTGGGAGTGGGGTATTTTTAAAGCCGCCTCCCCTGAACAATACTGAATCTAGTAGGTATAGTTTCTGACCCAAGAACAGGGAAATCCTGGCTTGTTAATGACTTCATCCTCAGCTACCAACAGGAAGCCTTGTACCTATGTGATCTCACCAGGTTTCTAAATGGTTTTAATGACACGAGTGAACTTTTATTTCACTTTACACATTATTCTAATTACCTTTGTTTTTATAAAAGTGCCGCTTTCATGATTTAGAATAGACGTGTAAAGAATTAACTAGTCTTTGTCTTAGATTGTACCTCGGAATTATTATGAAAGAAAGAAAAATAATAATGCTTCAACAAAAGAGTAATTATTAACCTCAGAAAAATGTTAGCTCTTTTGTTTAAAAAGAGCACGGATTTTAAAAAAGAAAGTGATTTTTTTCCAGTTTCGAGCTAACCAGAGACGCTGAGGTCTTTCAGAAATAGCTATAGTTTTGTGTTATTGTAAATAAACCATTTTGAAGAATTTTTAGGAAGGATATTAGGCCCTTCCTTGGTTATTTTTGATGGTAGTTTAACTATCATTTTATAGAGAACAGTTGCATTATCTATAATTTACAAATTAACTTTCTCTCCAGTGAACAGCAATGATGGGTAATGTCTAGCATTTTTTATATCTCAAATAATTTTTTTCTTTTTGGTGAATAACCTGAAATGCTGCTTAGTTATTGTCTGTTATTTCTTTGAGCAGAATACCTCTGTGGCAAAAAACAAACACTGGCTGGCCATATTTTCCAAATATTATCAGGGTAACACTGAATAACTACCCAAGAATGTTTGAAAACAAGTTTTAAAAGATTTTTGTTACTGTTTTTGTATGTTACTGTTACTTAAATGCAACCCCCACCCCTTGCTTTAAAACATTTTGGAGGGGTGTGGTCAGCTAAATTATAGCATAGAAAATGCAGGCTTTCCCCCTCCCCCATAAAACCTGCTTTGTTAACATGTTGTGTTTGGATTAGGCCATCTGTACAGGGCTGCTCACACTTCTTAATTGTACTTTACTTTTCTTCAAACCAGGCAAATGTCCTCTGATTTCAGTTATATCAGAAGTACTGTAGCTGGAGTGTGCCTTCAGAGTCCTTAAAGACCAAGCATTTCAAAAGCTTAATCATATTTTTACAACATTTAAGAAAGCTATTTCGTAATTCATGTATCAGTTGAATGTTTTTGTTTCTCTTTTGTGTCAGTTTCTTCTGAAGGTGCAAATGAACACTAGCTGTGATGATGCAATACGGATATTTATCCATAAAGAATTAGCCTGTCTGCCACCTTGTTTCCTGTAACTTACTCAGAAACTGACAGATGGTCATGGCATTCACTTGTTACTGACATGGAATCTAATGTTCTACTTTATGTCTTTGCTTGCTCCTAAAATGTGTTTTCGTCACTCAACAGGAGGTGCCTGGTGAATCATGAGTTTAAAACAGTATCTTCTTTGGTACAGCAGTTCCATCAGATGTTAGATTTTTCTATTTTTTTATTGGTTTTTTTGGTTGGTTTTGGTTCATTGGTTGGTTTTTGATCTTTTTTTCTCCACAAGGCTGTCCTGGAACTTACTATGTAGACCAGTCTAGCCTCAAACTCACAGAACTGCCTACCTCTGACTCCCAAGTGTTGGGATTAAAGGTGTATGCCATATTTGATTGTTGTAACACTTGGAAAATGATGAGGAAACTGTTTTTTGTTTTTGTTTTCTTTTAAAAGGATTTATGGAGAGGATTTTGGATTCTGAGTGTTTCTAACCTAGCACTTGGTAGTTACTTGTGTAGTTTTGGGCTAGGAACTGGTCTTGTTCATTTCTTCTTGTTTGTGCCCCTCATTTTTAGAAACCAAATAAGCAAATGCTTTGCTCATTATTATGACCTTTTAGGAGATTGTTTGGGGGGGGTTGTTTGCTTTTGTGTTTTCAATATGGATTCTATAAAAGGGAATAAATTCAAGGGATTAAGAAAAAGGCTAAGGTGCTCTTAAATTAGGGAGCTTTATAAATCATGTAAGTGAAAGATAATAGGACCTTGTATCAGTACAAATTGTAAACAAAGAGAAATGAAGGAATATTTAACAGTCCCAGGGCTAGACAAGCATGGAAACTTGCACCTGTAATCCCAGTATAGAAGAGGATTACTTTGAGTTCAAAGCCAGCGTCTTTTTTCCAGTGTCTCAGCCCCATAAAAGGCAGTAAGGCTTAGTGACTGCACAGAACTCTCAGGTTTCTGTACTGAGCTACTAGATGGCAGGAGGTGTGGACAAAGATGAGTCTGTAAGGAGAAATAGAGGTGAGATGGTATAAAAGCATGAGCTCATCACTAAATGACCTTTACTACTCAAGTAAAAGGTCAGAGAGATAGTGGAATATGTGACTAGGTACTCAAAGGAGGTTTGAGCTGAAAACAAATAAGGTCATCTCCTTTGAGATGGCATTTAAAAACACATCAATCCCAAGCTTTGAGTAAACATGAGGGATTAGTTAGAAGAGGAATTAAAAACTAGTCAAGAACAAGGAAAGTGCAGTGCAGTTGAAAGAAGAATGTACAGTCTACAGCAAAAAGGACATTGAAATAGGATAGTGCATTGTTTCTAGGCCAAGTCGGGAAAGCTTAACTGTCACATGGTGAATACCATTAGACTTAACATACAGCAGTGCGGTATTATGGCTAAACATAGAGGTTCTAGATTCACAATGCCCAAGTTTAAATCTCAGTCTCATGACTTAGAAGCTTTGTGACTGCAGACGTGTTGCTTAATATGTCTGTGCCGTAGTTTTCTCATCCATAACAGAAACTTAGAAAGAATACGTACTGTAGGGCTGAAGATACAGCTCAGCAGTTAAGAGCAAGGGGACTCAGGCTTGACTCAGTTCCCATCACCCACAAATGTAATTCCAGTTCCAGGAGATTGGATGCTCCCCTCTGGGGGACACTGTGAATACACATGATGCACATATATACAAGCAGGTACACTGATACTGGTAAAACTATTCTAGAAAAATCTAGTACAAAGGGTATTTGTGAAAATTGTGATGTGTGGCTTTAAAACAGTGGCTTTAAAAAATTAGCTCATGAAATAAATGATAGCTACAGCAACAATACTGTTTCCATGCATTAATACTTTTTGAACTCTAATACAAAGAAGTTTGTTGAAATAGTCTTTTGCTCATTTGGGATTGTCTTTACATATAAATTGTGATCTTATTAAGATCTTTTCCAAAAACTTGAAGGACACTCTAGCTTTAAAACTTTAATCCCAGCAATCAAGAAGCAGAGGCAGGTGGCTCTCTTAAGTTTGAGGCCAGCCTGGTCTACAGAGCAAGTTCCAAGACAGCCACGGTTACACAGAGAAACCTTAAGACTCACTCAGAGACTGGGAATGTAGTTCAGTGAGAGTAGATTGCTTCCCTAGCATGCTGTAGGCCATGGGTTCAGTCTCCAGCATCACATAAAAACCAGGTATGGTGGAACATGACTTTGTGTGGGATAAGATGAGGTCGGAGTGAGGGTATATATGCATCTTATTCTCTCTCCACACTGTAGCAGGGTTTGAGATGAAGAGTTTAGATATTTGATTATTAAAGAATAGGGATATTGGCCACTGCTTGTTGTCATATTTCCTTGCCACATTCTCTGGAATGAGTACTAACTAAAGAGTATCTGCCATAACACACATGTTTTTTCTTTTGTTCATTAAATTGGTGTCTGGTTCCTGCTGGATAGATGAGGTAATGTTCCCTTTATCATCAAATATATATCTTTTCAGTGAAAGCTCCAGAAATGTAATGACTTGCATTCATTCACTCATTAAAATGTACTGAGCATCTGAGTTCCCTGATACTAAACCAAATTCTACAGGGTACTGTAGAAATAGGAAAGACACTGTTCTGCCACTTAAAGAACTTGTGATCTACAAGAGTGATAGGGTAATTGATATACCTGTTACTTCCGCTTGGCTTCTAAACGCTGGCTCGAGCCAGGCTTAGAGTTCTTTTCTTCTCCATTTGTTCTTGCTGAACTTGA